TTTGTGATCACCTCCCAATGTGACCAATTATGTAAGTGTATTTATGTAAGTGCGTTTGTACATGTATGTTTGGGGGTCTGAAATGGACTAAGCTAATTCACAATATTCCTTATGGGAACAAATTCATTCAGTACTGGCACCTGAACATACTTCTGGAATGAAATAATATCGTAAACCGGGGGTCCACTGTATAATAATTACCTCTTGCACTCCAAGACAATGAATGTAAACCTAGCAAAAAAAAAAATATAAAAGATTATACATTTAAAATTCAAATCCAAAAAAGTGATACTGTGTTCTCATTACAGCAAGTTACAATACTTACCAGCCAGTATGTTTCTGATAACCATGGGCTGGACACTATTCTTACACAAGCTCCCTCATTTTATCTCATTGTTCCCTTCCATGCAAGTTAACACAGTACAATGTTACAAAAGCCATAATGTGCCAGATTTCAAGTCAGACCCTTTCTCATAAAGATATGTCCAAAATTATTGTTTGTACGTATTTGTATTGTCACCGAGTAATGTGGATACTGCAAATGGAAGAAAAAAATGAAGAGGGCAGTTGCTAGAGATAGAAGAGAATACAGCTGCTTCCCATCAGATTTTTTTTAAATTAGACACATGTGCAACACTTGGGTATCATTAATGAGGAAACGTTTTGCCACACAGCGGCTTCATCAGTCCATACAAAAGAGAATGGTGAAGAACAGGAGGAGTTTGAGGTAATCAGTCCCTCAGCCTTGAGTCGAAGTGGTCAGTCCATCAATCTTGTAAAGAATACAGCATATGTGCGGAGAAGTAGCTTATATACCGTAGGTAGGAGAGGTGGAGCAGTCATAGGTGGTATCACATGTGAAAGTAGGTCATGCCCGAGGGTTAGGCAAGTGAAGAATTCCTTGTATTAAAGATACCCAAGTGTTGCACATTTGTCTAATTTATCAACTTGTCAGTTCTCTGACCCATTCATCTACAGATTTTTTATACCTGAATACCTGGGGATCACCCACAGCCAACCACCTTAAATCTTTAATAACCCAACAAAAAGCTACTCTGCAGATGATTACCAACTCCTGTGCTAGACAGCACACCCCAACACTTTTCAAAAGCCTGAACTTGCTAAATATATGAGACATACACTCATTTTATTGTGCCTACTACGCTTTTTTTTTTTTTTTAACAAGTCGGCCGTATCCCACCGAGGAAGGGTGACCCAAAAAGAAAGAAAATCCCCAAAAAGAAAATACTTTCATCATTCAACACTTTCACCTCACTCACACATAATCACTGTTTTTGCAGAGGTGCTCAGAATACAACAGCTTAGGAGTATATACGTATAAAAATACACAACATATCCTTCCAAACTGCCAATATCCCAAACCCCTCCTTTAGAGTGCTGGCATTGTATTTCCTATTTCCAGGACAAGTCCGGCTATATAAAATAACTAGTTTCCCTGAATCCCTTCACTAAATATTACCCTGCTCACACTCCAACAGCTCGTCAGGTCCCAAATACCATTCATCTCCATTCACTCCTATCTAACACTCACGCATGCTTGCTGGAATTCCAAGTCCCTCACCCACAAATCCTCCTTTACCCCCTCCCTCCTAACTTTTCGAGGACGACCCCTACCCTGCCTTTCTTCCCCTACAGATTTATACGCTCTCCATGTCATTCTACTTTGATCTAGTCTCTCTAAATGACCAAACCACCTCGACAACCCCTCTTCAGCCCTCTGACTAATACTTTTATTAACTCCACACCTTTTTCTAATTCCCACACTCCGAATTTTCTGCATAATATTTACACCACACATTGCCCTTAGACAGGACATCTCCACTGCCTTCAATCGCCTCCTCGCTGCAGCATTTACATCATATACAGAACATTAAATTCTACTATAAACCCTCCACTTAAACTTCTCCTTGATAGTTACAACAGAACACAGTCACGATACAAGGCATAATGCACTCTTCAACATCCCTTGTGTCAGTCTCACACTATGCAAAAACACTATGCATATAAAGGGCTCGAAGATCTGGAACTCGCTACTGGAACCGGTAAAGGAGCCCCTGACGACTAATAAATTTAGGACCTTGCTAAAAAAAATCTTATCTCTCAATACTAACCAAACCAACCAAAACAACTTCTAATTAGTTATATTATGTGACCTCTAGACTTTTAAACATCTGCCAATCCATGAAATATTAATGCCTGAACCATTAATTGTAATATTGTTTTTATGTGCAACTTCAAGATTATTATGCTTATAAACCTCCACCTTGACTACCTCACATTAGTATTAAAATTAAATAAGACTGTAATAAAGTTAACCACTATTATCTTGTCTAGTTGTAAGTATGTAGTTACTATGTACACACTAGGATTAGTCTGCCCAAAATGCCCCAGCATGATAGTGGCTTTCTTTGTACTTGGCAAACCAAAATTGTAATTACACATTGTAATCTTAAAGAAATAAATCTTTATCTTATCTTTATCTTATACCTGGAGGGTGTTTCGGGATCAACTCCTGAGGCCTAGTCCATGACTGGGAAGGAAAAAAAAAGGCGAGTGGTGCACTGAGGAGTCTGTGGAGATGAAGAACTATCCATGGAAGTAAAGAGGGGAATGTGCGAGAGTATAATTATACCAATGATCTTATGTTTGTGTGAAGTGTGGATGGTGAAAGTTGCAACAACAGTGATGATGTCATGTCTGAAGGCACTGTGTGGTGTGAATATAATGCAGGGAATCTGTAGTTTGGAGATTAGGAGGAGGTGCAGTATTACCAAAAGTATTATCCAGAGGGCTGAGGAGGGCTTACTGAGGTGGTTCGGACAGGCAGAGAGGATGGAAGGAAATAGAATGACTTCAAATGTATACATCTATAGTGGAGGGAAGGCAGGGTAGAGGTCGGCCTAGGAAAGGTTGGACAGAGAGGGTAAAGGAGGCTTTGTGTGCAAGAGGCTTGGACTTCCAGCAAGCATGTGTGAGCATGTTAGATAGGAGCCAATGGAGACAAGTGGTTTTTAGGACTGCGTTCTTGGAGTGCAAGCAAGGTAACGTTTACGAAGAGATTCAGGGAAACCAGCAGGCCGGACTCGAGTCCTGGAGATGGGAAGTACAGTGTCTGCACTATGATAGAGTGGTGTTAAAGTTGCAGTTTTATAACTGTAGTGTGAGCACACCTCTGATGGAGTGAATGATGAAAGTTTTCCTCTTTTGGGCCACCCTGCCTTGGTGGGAAACTACAGATGTGTTGATAAAAAAAGTGGGGGGGGATATGAAGTGTTGAAGATGGAAGCAACCACTACACTTAACAGTTAAGAGATTTTGCAGCTAAGTGATTCAATTCAGCCGATTTACACTTTTCTGCCATATTGGACCCGATATTACATGAACTTTTATTTATAAGCTGTTTGACAAACTCCTGAATATATCAATACAGTGGTACCTCAAGTTACGAACTTAATTCATTCCAGAAGGCTGTTCGAGTGCTGATATTGAACGAATTTATTCCCATGAGGAATAATGCAAATTAGATTAGTCCGTTTCAGGACCCCCAAAAATACACTTACAAAAGCACTTACAAAAATACACTTGCATAATTGTTCAAGTTGGGAGCTGTTTGAAACTTGAGGTACCACTGTACTTGAACAATATCATCCCCTAAACAAAAAAGCATGTGAAAGCCAAAAGGAGATCTATAATGTACTATAACCCAGGTGCCTATTTAGTAACAGGTGATCATGAGCAACAAGTATATGGTAGAGTGTTTAGTCATTTTGACTGTTTATATCATTCAGTGATCTTGGAAATAAAAGTAAATAGTATAACAAAAAAGCCAAGTTAAAACTGACAATGAACCTTGCCAGAAGTGAGCTAATATCACAATCCACATGACATTCCCAACTGTAACATCCTCAATCCTCTTCATAGAGTATGCGCTAAACCTTCCACCTCCAGGACTAATCCGGTTAACAGGTTTCCCCCAAATTCTTTCATAAATAAACAGCACACCAGGTCATAAAAACAACTATGTATCTCCCTCTTGCTTTTTATGTGCTCATAAAAGATGTGTGCCCTTAAGACCACGTAACACAATTTGGGAGGCATTTATAAGGGTACTTACCTGAACGTCTCGTCCTGCCCAGGATACAAACCAGAGACCTCACAGTTACCTAGAGTATACCTGGAGAAGGTTTCAGGGGTCAATGCCCCTGTGGCCCAGTCTGAGACCAGGCCTTGTGGTGGATCAGGGTCTGATCAACCAGGCTGTTACTGCTGGCCGCACGCAAATTGACATGACCCACAGCGCGGCTGGTCAGCTACTGACTTTAGGTGCCTGTCCAGTGCCTTCTTGAATACAGCCAGGGGTCTATTGGTAATCCCCCTTATGTATGCTGGGAGGCCCTGACACTTATTGTGTTCTCTCAGTGTACTCATGGCACCCCTGCTTTTCATTGGGGAAATGTTGGAGTCTCTTGCTTTCGTAGGGAGTGATTTTTCATGTGCAAGTTTGGTACTAATCCCTTTAGGATTTTCCAAGTGTATATTATCATGTATCTCTCTCTTGCCTGCATTCCAGGGAATACAAATCAAGGGACTTCAACCAATCCCAGTAATTTAGGTGCTTTATCATACTTGTGTGTGTCATTAAAGTTTTTTGTACACTCTTCAGGTCAGCAATTTTGCCTGCCTTGAAAGGGCAGTTAGTGTACAGCAGTATTCTAGCCTAGAGAGAACAAGCTATTTGAAGAGAATCATCATGGGTTTGGCATCCCTTAGTTTTGAAGGTTTTCGTTATCCATTAGTTGTGGCAACTAATTACTGCGCTCATTTCATTTATTTCCACTTGTTCAGGAGTTTCTACATCAGCTACTACACAGTCTTGTGACCTAACACAACCTTTCTTCTACCTCCTTCCAAGGTTTCAATATATGCCATGTGAAAGTTATGACAAGCAGAAAGAAATAAAGTTTGTGTGTGTCACTGACCTTTGGATGTTTTAGGCCTGAGGTCTCGAGCTTCGTGAACGGTGATGAGCAGCGTCATGTTGGGCGGCTGGTAGCACAAGAAATAAAGGCTCTTTTAATTTAAATTACTATCAATTAGGGAGAGTAATATTCTCACTGACAGCTGCTTGTATAAAGAAGCTCTGAAAGAGAATGGTGAAGGGGAGAGAGGAGAGAAGAGACAGAACAGAGGGAAAGAGAAAGGGAACAAGAGGAAAGTAGGGAAAGGGGAGCAAAGTACATAAAGGGGAGTAAAGGAGAGAGAATTGGGGTAAGGAGAGGAAGAGTGACAGGGTAGAGCAAATCACCAGAGTAATAACACACCTTCCTGGTGGAGACTTCCTCCTCGATACATGCCATGGAGGCATCGTTCATCTGGAAGATATCTCCGAGTTCCTTGAAGAGTTGTTCAGTGGTAGTGTCGGTGGAGCCAGCACCATCAGTCCCATATGCTGGAGGGACCTCGTGAGGGACATGCAAGTAGTAAGCTGAATAGTACACGTCTGCCAGCTGCTGTTCGTCCTGTTATAACAATATCACAGCATTATTGGTCTTTCAACATACTGGACACACGTATGCAGACTGAATATTTACATTTTTTAAGAAAAAGCAAAATAAACATCAAAATACATATTTCAATAGCAAGACACTCAAAAATAGTGTGAAAATTTTAACAAAACACTTCAAACTTTTTCACTACACTATAAATGAGCAGAAAGATAATTGTTTATATTATAATATATGCTAAGAAGGCTGGATATCTTCGAGTTGAAATAAAGAATTAAAAAATTAGCACATGTGGTAGTATGAAAGGAATAATTTAAAAAGCGGAAAGGAGTTTGGCCAGAATATGTCATTTAGAAAGAATGGATAGAATAGGCTGATAGAGAGCAGGGATTCATAGCCTTTATCCTGCCATTTACCACTTACGCTTAATGTCACCATCCATTTACCTCCACTAACACCTCATAATATGGCATAAAATCAGGACAGAAAAAAAAAATGAATAGAGAAAAGCAAATTTAGTACAAAGATATTGTACAAAATACACTTATGGAAGAAAAAATAGTGCACCTGTATTAATCACTATCATATCAAGTTATTAAAAACAATAATATTAATGGTACCAATCCTGCTGCATTCCTTCACCCAGTTTATTCGAGGAGTTTTTGATGACTTACTCGTAAACAGTGAATAATACGTAAATATCGTTTCATTCGGGACTGATTATTTACCCAAGCCATGTATTCTTCCCCTCCCCAGAGCAAATTTACCCCTGCTTGAAAATCACTGATATAGAGGGTGCATAAATCAAGTGTTCCAAGGATAGTGTGACTGGTATTGCCATGCAGGACAATACCAGTCAGGCTAATTGGGTCAATTTTGTCCCAGGATACGACCCACACCAGTTGACTAACACCCAGGTACTCATTTTACTGATGGGTGAACAGGGACAACCAGTGTAAGGAAACACGCCCAAAGTTTCTACCCTTGCCGGAAATCGAACCACAGACCCTTAGCGTGTGAAGCGAGAGCTTTGCCTACCAGGCCACGGGCCACTGAGGCCAGAAAGTTCAAGTGACAAATAGTTCATTACTTCTTTAACTTGCTTACCTAATAATGTTGTAGCCCAGTCCTTGGAGCAATTATGTCTCTCTAATCTTTCGACTACCGCCGATAGGATGGATTAGGGGTACGTAAGGTGCATGTAATTGGTCAGCTGACTATTAAGAGTTTCGGGGCTATTAAGTACAATGTCGGCATTTACAGTGCTGGATTTACATGCAGGCTTGGCAGGCTGAAGCCTAGGGCCTCAAAATCTAAGAGCCTTCCAGCCAAAGTGTATAATATTTCTGATACTGTCAAAGGCCTTTTTTTTTTTTTTTTTTACATGTGCTTTCATTATGCACTGTAGTCTCTAAACAACCCTTCAGTAATGTTCCTTGCGCTCCATTTCAGAATAATACAGTGGACCCTCGAGTTTCGGCAGCCTCGACTTTCGTGAAATTCGACCTTCGGCGAGTTTTTTTTGGCAAAATTTGGCCTCGAGTTTCGTGATTAAACTCGTGTTTCAGCGACCGCCTGTCATCGCGCACACAAAGCCGGTCTCCTACTTAGTGTGCCATTGTTTACCTAGCGGGTTCACATGTAATAATCCATTGTTTTTTGTGATTACAACTGCTAAATAAGTCACCATGGGCCCAAGGAAAGCTAGTGCAAGCCCTTTGGTAAAGAAAGTGAGGAACACGATCGAATTCAAGAAGGAAATCATTGAAAAACATAAGAGTGGAGTGCTTATATCATATGAGTAGAGGGTTTATATCAGAGTTAAGTGTTCTATAAATGTAGTAGGTGCAGTAATAAGTATGGATGTTTTGTATGGCGAGTAAGTTTAGAGTTTTGAATATTGGTGGAGTATGCTGCCTGTAGTGGGAATTTGTTATCATTCTGACTGCAGCCTTTTGTTGGGTAATTAATGGTCCGAGATGGTTTATTGTTGTTGAGCTCCATGCACAAATTCCGTAAGTGACATAGGGGTAAATAAGTGAGTGATATAGGGCCAGGAGGGCTGACTGTGGAACATTTAATTTATTTATTAATTAATTTGAACATGATACAGTGAAGTACAAAAAAATATAGTTAAATGCAGCATGCCAAAGCCACTTGAATGCATAGCATTACGGGCAGGCTTAAAATTAACTTAAGATTAACTAAGCAATGATACATTCAGTGGTACAAAAATTATTGTAAAACAGATAACAATTTAGTACAAATGAGTATTACAAAGACAGGTTATATGGTCATTTACTGTGTTGCTGTGTAATCAGTAGAATGGAGTATTCTGTTAGGTAATAAAGTTAAATAGTAACAAAGTTTGATTGGGTCACAGGTTGACATATATGAGATACAATAATGAGATACAATAATAAGATGTTATCTTCATTATAGAATAATAAGAAAATATTATAACCTTTATATTATAATAATAAGGTAAAAGGACCCCAATGGAAATAAGTCACTCTGTCTGACTTTTTTGGGTTATCCTAGGTTCTCTACACATATGCTGCTATGTATGATAATTCTATGTAACTGTATTGTGTATACCTGAATAAATTTACTTACTTACTTACTATATATGAGATACAATTTATGAGATACAATTATTCAGTATTTATTTAGTTGTGGGTGAGTAAGTGATTTTTGAGAAGAGACTTGAATTTATAAACAGCCAGTGTTTCTTTTATATTCACAGGTAGTGAATTCCAGATTTTAGGGCCTTTTGTGTGCATTGAGTTTTTGCATAGAGTGATCTGTGTCTTGTGTTATGGTCATGTGTTCTGTTGAGGTTGGTAAGGAGATGTTTGAGGGGAGGGTTTATGTCAGAGTTAAGTGTTCTATGTATGCAGTAGGTGCAGTAATAAGTATGGATGTTTCGTATTGTGAGTAGGTTTAGAGTTTTGAATATTGGTGGAGTGTGCTGTCTGTAGTGGGAATTTGTTATCATTCTGACTGCAGCCTTTTGTTGGGTGATTAGTGGTCTGAGATGGTTTATTGTTGTTGTTGAGCCCCATGCACAAATTCCATAGGTGAGATAGGGGTAAATAAGTGAGTGATATAGGGCCAGGAGGGCTGACTGTGGAACATAGTACCGTATCTTCGATAGTATGCCTACGGTCTTGGAATTTTTTTTGGAAATTTGTTGTATATGCGTTTCAAATTTGAGTCTATTATCAAGGTGGATTCCTAAGAATTTTCCCTCTGTGAGTTTTGTGATAGGTGATCCATTTATCATTATGTTAAGAGACACATCTGCAGCTCTGTTACCAAACCGAATGTAGTAGGTTTTGTCAATGTTTAGAGTAAGTTTGTTGGTCCTCATCCAGGTTGATATTTTCTGTAATTCGGTATTTACAGTATTGGCTAGCATGACTGGGCTCGGGTGGGAGTAGACGTATGTAGTGTCATCTGCAAATAGTGTGGGTTTGAGTAGTTGTGATGCATTTGGTAGGTCATTTATGTATATGAGAAAGAGAAGAGGGCCTAGGACACTTCCCTGTGGGACACCAACTGTAATTGGCTGTGCGGAAGAGTTTGCCCCATTTGTGTACACATATTGGCTTCTGTTGCTGAGGTATGACTTTAGGTAGTTGAGGGAGTGCCCTCTTATACCATAGTGCGACAATTTTATGTGGAGCAAGTCGTGGTCAACTGTATCAAAAGCTTTACGTAAGTCAATGAAGATCCCCAGTGGGACTTCTTTTTTCTCTATTGCTGTATAAATATGTTCTAACATGTGGATAATAGCATCATTAGTATTTTTATTAGGCCTGAACCCAAATTGACAGGAGTTGAGTATGTTGTGGGAGATGAGGTAGGAATAGATACGCTTATGGATTAATTTTTCAAAGATTTTAGAAAGAGGGTGTAAGTTGGATATTGGCCTATAGTTATTCAAGTCTGTGTGGTCTCCTCCTTTATGGATTGGGGTGACCCTTGCTATTCTGAGAACTAGTAGGAAAGGTAGAGGATTCAATGAATTTGTTAAAGTGTGTTGCAATGATTGGTGACAGCACCTGTGACACTTTTTTGTATATAATGGGTGGTAAGGTATTTAAATCTCCTGTCTTGTTTTTTAGTTTGTTGATAATAAGGGAGACTTCAGTTGGGTTAGTCAGAGCTAGGAACAGTGTGTTCGGGTAGTTGCCAGTGAGGTAGTCATTGGGTGGGGTATCTGAGCTTGGGATTTTATTGGCAAGGTTTTTTCCTATAGTGGAGAAGAAATCATAGAGTCTGTTTGCTGTTTCAGTATTTGGGAATTGGGGTTCATCTGGTTTTGTTAATTCAATTTCGCTATTTCGTTTTATCTTTTTTGTTCCTAGTATTTCTGATAGGGCTTTCCAGGTCTTTTTTATGTCACCTCGTAAGTTGGATAATCTGTTCTCATAATACAATTTTTTAGCCCTTCTTATTAGGCTGGTTAGGATTGACGAGTAACGTTTTGTTTGGTCTCTGGTTATGTGGCCCATTCTGTACTGTTTTTCGTATAGGTGCTTTGTATTTATGGATTTGAGGATACTGGGTGTTAGCCAGGGACTGTTCAGTCTCTTTGCAGTCGTCTGTTTAGTTTTTTAGGGCAGTGCTTGTTATAAAGGTATTGGGTCTTTTTTAGAAAATTATTAATACATTCGTCAATATCTGTATAGATTTCTAGCTCAGTGTGCCAGTCAATGTTTGTCACTGCTGCTGTGAAGTTATTGATAGCTGCCTCATTGTGAAGTCTGAAAGTGACTTTGGTAGTGTCTAGGGGTAATTTACCAAGGTTTGTTATGAGGAAGGTTGGGTAATGGTCTGTGGTATTATCTGTGATTATGCCTGATCTTAAGGGGGATATGGTGTTGGTCCAGATGTGGTCTAGTACCGTATCATAGTACCGTATCTTCGATAGTATGCCTACGGTCTTTGAAATTTTTTTGGAAATTTGTTATATATGTGTTTGAAATTTGAGTCTATTATCAAGGTGG